CTGATTGTGTATTTGTGGCCAGGTAGGTGGATCAAGTGGCATGAGAAAACGGTTGTAGTACAAATCACTTCGTAGTATAACTACACATATAAGAAAGATGATGTATTATTTCTCCGTTGTTATGAGAAATACAGAGCTGTGATTCCGGGCCTCATCTAGTTACTCTAGTTACTCTAGTTACTCTAGTTACTCACACCGGTATGAGAGCACTGAATGCCCTGTATACAAGAGGGACCCATTAGTTCCCAGGCCCCATGTGGGACCAGTGCCAGACCTTGCACAGCTTTACCCTGCCCCAGTTCTGCTGCTTTTATTCTTCCAGCCCTTTTGGCTTTGTTACGTTCATTCAGGACTCAGATTCCTTCATCTATGAAAATAGCTACTATCAGACTGGAATGTGCTGCTGGGCTAAACAAAGGTTTATTAAAAGCCTTTTAAATGAAAGTCTGGACAGTCAGCTTGCAAGCATTTATGTGCCTATTCACAATATAGCTATTTTCTGAGAAATATTTCATACTGCCAAGAACTGTCCTTTACCTGAGTTGCTCTAACTACTTTATTTCTTAGGTACTTATTCAGGTCACAGTTACAATATGAAAGTCTTGATTTTCACAGAGAAAGAGACACTTTGCTTTTGAAAAACATGACCTGAGATTTATTTTTATTATACGATTTTCTTATTAAATAGCACTGTCTACATGTATAGATATTTGATGATTCTGATGATAGAGAGGATTACCTTAATGAGGGAAGGTCTTAGTTATTACTGCCATTCGTCATTACATCATCTCGTTGGACCCTAACAGGAGCACAAACAAGAAGAATCACAGGATATATTGAATTCTCTGTAAGCTGGATATGAAATGTCAGCAACATTAATTCACAATACCATTGCTTTGTCAAAATTAGTTATATGTGTTATTGTGTTTAGAATATTTGACTGATAAGGTTGCTTCTGTAATTAGGAGTCTGTCACATTTCAATTATATATTCATACCACTTTTCCAAAGGTTTATAAATCAGATAAACTTCCTGCAGGCTGAAATGTGCCGTGTTAATTAGTGCAGGGACAATTTTGTTTATGTGTTGTTGTCCATTACTTTGCTACAGGATTATAATAGAAATCGGGTAAGTTTATTTGTAATCTCACATCTTTAGAAAGACTTTATTCCAACAACAACAACAACAACAACAAACAACAACAACAACAAATCAGAGTTGATATTTTCACAGTGTTGGCTTAATTGTCTTCTCATGGAAAACAGAGTTTTACCATCAATTTCATTGTCCCTGCAAAATCCTGGCAATGTTAAGCACTTTCAAAAAGCTACTTGAAAGACTAAAGTGTTATATGTTACAATACTGAATAATAATATCTCAATAAATGGTTGAAAGAAAAAGAAAAGCAGATCAAACTTTAAAGTGTCTTATTTGTGAAAGCCATTCTCAGCAGCAATTCTTAGCAAATATAGAGCATGTCAACGTTCAATGCATTCAGCAGTTGGATAAGTTGCAATTTCTTTTAATTAGAAATGTATCTTTGGAGCTTGTGGAAGCAGAACAATTAATGACATGAATTTAATTCTTCAAGTAAAAGTCTTCAGTAAAAACCCATTATGATCTCCAAGAAAAACCCTTAAAAACATGCAGTGATGCACAGATGTGCTGTGAAATTCTTAAAATGTGAGCTAACTTTAAGAAGATCCTCACTGAATATTAAACAACCTTGGAAACTGCTGCCCAGAAATAACATTTTATTCTCTGTTCTCAGTGTGGGGGTGGAGTGCCAAGATTTTGTCAGAAAAGAGGCAATTTTTTATTTATTTATTTATTTATTTATTTACTTTCTTCTGGCTAATTAATTTAGCCTTAAAAGTAATTTAGGCTACTGGAGTTGTACTAATTGTTATAATGACTAGTGCTTTTAAGATTGTGTCATGCAGAATAAAGGCCCTTTAAAGTTTGCCTGTATTCATCCATAAATATTGGAATAAATAAAAGCACAGTCTGGGTGGCATTTGCTTGTCCCAGCAAGAAACGTGCTAGGGACAGCTCCTTCAGCATGCAGCCTGACTGCTCCCAGTGACACCCTTCTTCTCCATGGAGTAGGTGTTACTGGCAATGTAGAAAAACAGACTAAATAGATATGAAAAAAGGGTATAGGGTGATGACATACACAAATATACTGAAATTCTGTTTTCATATTATATTCATATATTCATCCAAACAGAAACTTTGTGAAATGGTAGGGTTTTTTTGCTTCTCACATGAATGGAAGCCATTTTTTCAATCAACAACATTTCTCTTTCAGCAGCTTGTCTTTGTTGTTAGGCATGGAAAAGTTGTGAATGTCGAGGAGAGTGGAGTAAAGGAGCTGTGAGTTTGTTTAGTTAAGGACACTATTCATTTTCTAACAGGCCACATAGTTAGGATGTGATGATACATCTGTCCTGGGTGTAACACTTCACATTTTATGGGACTAGGGCACTATGGGACTTTATTTAATCACTAGCACATTTCCCCATGTGAGTTTTTCCTGGGTTTGTAGTACTCATGGAATCAATCACAGTATTTGGGAGATAACCACAGTTAGCGGCTGGTCTCAGTGGGCAGTTGGATGTAGCCAGTCTAATTTTTGGGAAAGAAAAAAAGCTCACATATACAGAGATGAACTCTGCTGGACACCTAGTACTCAAGCTCAGAAAATGGTCTCTGGTCTATTTTATCAATTATAACAGGTGTAAACAACAATATCAAAATCACGGGGCTAACAACCAGACAGAATTAAATAAGGAGAGGAAGGAGATCACCTCATTCAAGAGATTCTGTTTAAGTGCAAAGAAGCAAAAAAAAAGATTAAAATCAAGGAACAAAATTCCTTCCCCTTCACATCCTGCTAAGAAGCGGCAGGAAGACAAACAGGTTAATTTTCATATTTCTTTGCTTAGGTTCTGTAACTGGGAATTTCTTCAAACTTCATTAACATAAGCATATGTTTATTTGTGTTTAAATACAGCAAAATATTTGTTGCTAAAATTCAAACTTAACTGTGAAAAGTTAATTTCTTAGGTGCATTATAACTTGACTTGACCTTCATCTCTACAATATCTCTTCCACCCAGCTTCCAACAGATGTCCGAGAGTTTTCTTCATGATTTCTTTGGTTAATTACCAATAGTATTACAAAATTTCCTTGCTAATGTATAAAGTCGTTTCTTCAATTTAGACAAAGGTGTTGTTTTTGTTTTGTTCCTAATGCACCTAAAGTGTACATATGTTGACTATTGTCCTGGTGTTTATTTTACAAGTCAAAATTTTTGTACCTGAATTTGTGTGCATCTGTATGTGCAATGCAGCCTGAAAACTGTTCCCAGAAGCTTAACGGAAGTCTTCTCTTTCTCTGTTCAATAATAAATAATCAGAATAAAAATACTCTATTTGTCATACCAGGATTTCATTTAATAGCTCAGTTTCTAAATTGCACAAGAGTTAAAGGGTACACCTTCAAATTCATTGCACAGGTACTCCTTGGCAGAAAACACAGAAGACTGGTGCATATATGAGAGTTCCTTATGTTTTCTGTGAAGTGTATAAAATTAAACGTTCCTAAGAACACTTTCTATAATAAGTTCTGAGCGGAATAAGTGATCTGGATGTTCTTAACAAAGTATGTAACCATCCAAATGTATGTTGTGGTACCTCCAGGAGCAATTCCAGTGGAAGGAGGGTAGTAAAAGCTACAGCAGTTGATTTCTTACCCACACAAAGTTTCCAGCCACAGTTTGTGTTCTTTCAGTACAGGAAAAGGATGGTTGTATAGCTGGTCATTAGCTCTGTCTTCAGTCAAATCATGTTCCAAATGACCAGAAGGTTATAAACCCACTGTGGTGGGTTTAAGTGGCAAGAGAGGGCCATAGGGGTGGCATCTGTGAGAAGAATTTAAAAGCTGCCCCATGTTGGGTAAGGACCCAGCTGCTGATCAGAGCCGAGCCAGTAAGTGATATTGTTTGTGCCTGTGTGAGAGCTGATTTAAGAAAGGGGAAACAAAACAAAACAAAACAAAACAACAACACACACACACACACACAAACAAAACAAAACAAAACAAGCTTCACAGCAGCTGGGAAAGAGAGAGGTGTAAGAAACAGCCTTGCAGGCACCAAGGTCAGTGAAGAAGAAGCAGGAGAGCTGCTCCAGGTGACAGAGCAGAAGTCCCCTGCAGCCTGTGGTGAGGACCATGGTGAAGCAGGCTGTCCCTCTGGGTCCCACATGGAGCAGATCTCCACGCTATAGCCCATGGAGGAACCCCCAGTGGAACAGGTGGACCTGCAATGTCTATGCCTTGTGGAAGACCCTTGCCGGAGCAGATTCCAGGCTGGACCTGTAGCCTGTGGAGAGGATCCCACACAGGAGCAGGGGGCGTGGGGGGAGCTGCCACCCACCCATGGGGGACCCGTGGTGAACCAGTTTGCTCCTGAGGGATGGATCCCGTGGTAAGAACAGTGGAGCAGTCCTTGAAGAGCTGCTGACTGTGGGAAGCCCACGCAGGTTCACTTCAGGAAGGACTGCATCCTGTGGGAGAGACCCCACAGCACAGGGGACAAAAGTGACTGAGAAGCAGCAGCGGAGATGAAGCACTATAGACTGACCACAACCCCCATTCCCCTGTTCCCCTGCGCTGCTTAGGGGGAGGAGGTGGAGGTCAGTAGATTGTGTTTTTCTCCCCCTTTCACTTTGAGGAGGGGGAGTGAGAGAACAGTTGTGGTGGAGCTCAGCCTCCCACCAGAGTAATACCACCACACCCATTTGTTCCAGAAAACATTGATACTTAGGGGTTTTTTTTCAACATCTGAGGACACAAAATTGGCCTGGATGTGCTCTTCTTTTTTCCAGCCACATGGTCTAGAAAGTCACATGTATTTCAACAGGCATCATCCAGAAATGGAAGGTATCAATATAGAAGAGCAGTAACTCTGACTGCTCTGACAGACTAAGAGCAGAGGAAGTTTTTCTATCAAATTTGTAACCAGAACCTGTGTCTCCTACCCTGAGACACCTTACAAAGTGCAAAGAGCAATGTAGGTTACACATCAGAGTTACCTTAAGAAGGGTGACATCTCAGGGCCATCCAGCTGTCCCAGAAAGGATCTGCAAGAAGCAACCTAATAGGAATGTCTCTAGTCAAGTGCCTTGATGATGAGTAAAAAAACTACATATAGCATGGGAAAATTTCTGGAAGCTATTATCTAACCTATTATTTAGGCCTACTGTCTACTGTGCCTACTGTGTTATCTAAACATTAACGTCAAGACCTGTTGTGGATATTTTGTAACAAAACAAAAGAACATGAACAGGTACTTTCAGACTCCATTGCCACTGTCTGTGGCATTCCGATAACTCAAAAACACTGGAAAGTTTTTCACAATCATGCTACCCACTGAAAAACTGACCAAGAAAGAGAAAAGTCGAGAAAGGCAAATTTAAGTGTGGAATTTCATAATGCTTCCCACCTGGGACCAAAAGAGAATATGCATTATTTATTTGATTATCTGAAATGACAGTACACTTTTTAAAATTTATTTTCATTTTTGTTTTAAGCTCATGCTACAGTTCAAAATACGACGCTATTTCTCCTAAATTGAAATTTGAAATGTGTAGTATTGCAAACATTTTAGCACTCACAGAGCTTTCAAACATATGTAGAGGGTGGGACAGCAGAAATATATCTAATATAGAAAGCATTTGAACAGAACAAGTCTAATCCCTCTTTATGCAATATTAATACTACTACTACTAATAATAATGTTATTGCAGCTAGCACTCTGACCACTTTTACTTTCTTTTACTTTCTTTTACTTTACTTTACTTTACTTTACTTTACTTTACTTTACTTTACTTTACTTTACTTTACTTTAGCTTCAACTAGAGAAGTAGTGATATATTTAACAACCAAACTGTTCAGCACAAAGATGTAACTTAGTTAAATTCAATATAAATTATATGTTTGAAACAAGTTAGGAAAGCGCTTAAAGTGAGGTTGTCTTAACAAGACTACATTAGGTCATTATAACCCTACCCTGGAAATACTGAAAGAAGTGCTTACTGTCACAGGCTCTCTCCAGAGTTTTCAGAAATGGCAATCACAATGGTAAAATTTCCACTTGGCGCTGAAAGCTCACTGTTTTCCTGTTAAAGACAAACTTGTGAGAGTATAGGTACCACTGCAGTGGATTCCATTATAGCTTATCAAGACAATTTTGTACAATTTTTGTCCGAGGATTTGTTGAAGGACCAATGCATAATCTGAATATCTGAAGCAGAAAAGAAAAAGAAAAGAAAAGAAAAGAAAAGAAAAGAAAAGAAATGAAAAGAAAGCAAAAAAAAAAGAAAAGAAAAGAAAAGAAAGAGAAAGAGAAGAGAAGAGAGAGAAGAGAAGAGAAGAGAAAGAGAATATAAGAGAAGAGACTATAGAAGAGAAGAGAAAGAGAATAGAAGAGAAGAGAAGAGAAAGGAAGATAAGAGAAGAGAAGAAGAAGAGAAGAGAAAAGAGAAGAAAAGAAAAGAAAAGAAAAAGAAAAGAAAAGAAAGAAAGAAAAGAGAAGAAAAGAAAAGAGAAGAAGAAAAGAGAAGAAAAGAAAAGAGAAGAAAAGAAAAAGAGAAGAAAAGAGAAGAAAAGAGAAAGAAGAAAAGAAAAGAAAGAAAAGAAAAGAAAAGAAAGAAAAGAAAAGAAAAGAAAGAAAAGAAAGAAAGAAAAGAAAGAAAAGAAAAGAAAAAAAAGAAAAGAAAAAAGAAAAGAAAGAAAGAAAAGAAAGAAAAGAAAAGAAAAGAAAAGAAAAGAAAAGAAAAAAGAAAGAAAGAAAAGAAAAGAAAAGAAAAGAAAAGAAAAGAAAAGAAAGAAAAAAAAAAAGAAAAAAAAAAGAAAAGAAAAGAAAGAAAAGAAAGAAGAGAAAAAAGAAACAGAGAGAGAGAGAGAAAGTCCAAAGGACAAATCATAAGAGCGTACCTTTCATAAAAAATGTTGCCTTACCTATATTTATATGGTCATTTCTGGGAATAAGTTTGTTCTTGCTACGATTTCATGGTATACTTCATTCTGTATAATTCCTGAGGTGTATTGGAGTAAATTCAGAATTACACCAGAACTACTTATCTTTTTTTTTTGTTGTTTTGTTTTGTTTTGTTTTTCCACCTCTGTTGTCTACTGCAGTCTCTATTAATGTTTATGAATCACATCTGCTGCTTAATAAAAATATCCCAACAGATGTAAAGTATCACTTACTACATAACAGCTTGCTTAGATTGTTTCCCAATAAAATTGCAGACCCAACTAAACTAGTATAGTAATACTTTGGATTTGTTCATGTATTATTTCTTTGACACTTCATATGTCAGTCACTATGTATGGCTTTTTTGGCTTTTTTTTTTTTTTTTCTGCATTTTGTGGGGCAACATTTTACAAATATTTTTACAAACATTTGTTGTGACATGTTTTCATACTGTCCAAGTTATTGGTTGTTCTTCTGTTATTCTTATATCTCTTAAATGTAAGGTTTGGAAATTTAAACAAGCTAACAAAAATAACTAAAAAAAAAAAATACCAAAGTTCTTATCCTCAGCAATTTTTGTATTACATGTCTATTAAGTCCAAGACATTCCATATTTTTATTATAAGTTATAATAGAAAAAACTATAAGTTGTCTCTTCAAGTAGGTAACACCAGGTTAAGCAGTTTTCTTAAGGAAAAAGATGCAGTGTCCATCATGGCATTTTATTTTCTAATATGGTTAAAGCTTTATTTCATACTAGCTTTTCAGTAAATACATTTGCCTTTCATATTTAATCTGAATATAGTTGAAATTTATACTGCTTTCACTTATGTTAGATACTGCACATAAGGGTTTAGCTACAAAGTTGGAGAAATACTGCCAGTAGATTAAGTTCCTGGAATTAACATCAAACACTTCCACCTCATTTGACATTTAAGCTTCCTCACACAGCTTTTAGAACATTAAGTTGTTTGCAGTTTTACAAAGAGAGGAAATGCACAGACCTAACTTTTCAGATGACAAAAATTAAAAGAACAATAATAACAAAGAAATAAACAAACAAACAAACAAAAAACCAATTTGATTAATCCCTTCAAACAGCAATTAACTGCTGATTGCAAATCCCAAAGGTAATAATATATTTATTTACTGAGATCTTTGCTTTTCAGAATTCTAAAAAGAAAAAATCAAAACATCATTTTTCCCACTGCTATTTCTCTGTTCTAATATGCCAAGTGTGAAGGTAACTTCACCTAGAAAATGCACTACTCAAGCTCTCTTCACCACATAGAAGTGTTTATCCTCAGTTGGCAGCCAAAATCCATGGTAATTACGATGTTAGCAGGTTGATTACTGGATAGAGGATGTCTAAAATGTTGACGTCATGTATATAATATGGGAATTTAAAAGCATTTTTATTTCTGATATACGCTTTCAAAGTTGTAAGATATTGTTTGTTTTTGTTTTGTTTTGTTTGTTTGTTTTTGGTTTTGTTTTTAACAGTAAATAAATTGATTTTCTAACCTAGAAATTTTAAAGTGGCAAGAGATTTTTGAGAAAAAGTACAACATACTTTTTTACCACAGCAAAGTGCACAACTCTATCCCATATACACAAAGGTTTTGGCTCGTGTAAGCTTTCTAATGAATTTTGTAGTGCACACACTTCTTTTGTTGAATAATTTTCAGGTGTTTTATTGTATTGGTTCAGTTATTCAATGAATCTTTTCCAAAGACAAGGATCTTCTCTAAACTTATCAAACATGCATGTAGACAGGTCAAGGTCCACTGACTTACCAAACTATGCCTGCCTTTATTCTTCATTCAGAACAGTTCTTGGAGACTGTAGGATTTGAAATACAAAGAAATGGACGTGAGAGTTATTGTTAATGATAAGAAGAATGTTCAAAAGCTGAAAATTGTAACTAAGATTCCTGACTACTCATAAAACAAAGTGAACAGGGAATAGCCTGCCTCCAACCACCATTTACAAAACCACAGACATATTTTCAGTGAAGCTCCCCTCAATTTGACGAGTGCTGTTATTTACAATGTTCCATGTTATTTTTTTGTTAGTGACTGAAGTCATGCCTATGTTACTGCCTTAATACTAATTACCTGCATTTTTCATTACATTCATATTCTCAAATGTCTCTTTTTCTGTCTGTTCTCAAAACCAAGAGCTTATAACACCTTGCTAAAATATCCAGCATTTGAGTCAGCATTTGGTGTTTAGCCAATTTTGACAGTTTAATAAATGACTTGCATCAAGCCATTGTAACTGGACATGCAGTGCTTGCCACAGTCTGGAAGCAGCCCAAAACCTTCAGTGCATAACTAATCTTTTTAAGTAGACAGACATACAGACATGGTGGAAAAAGACCGAAATACTACACAGACGTCTTTGGCAAAACACATGGGAACCTGTAGATATATTTTATAGATTTGTGAATTAAACTGAAGAAATTTGATATTTGGAAGGAGAACTCACCCACCCCCTACCTCACTCTCCCCACTCCCCAGCTCTTCTGTGTACAGAGCCCCAGTGAATTATGTGGTTCTCCCAGCCTGCCAACTTGTCCAGTGGAAGTTAGCAGTCTGTTTACTTTGAACTACAGTAGGTGTATGGTCCTGAAGAGGAGGGGTTCTTATATCTTAAGTATAAATGTTCTCTTATAACTTAGCTGAGTAGTTTGTTGTTGAAATTTAACTCTCCTTGGCTAGACTTTGGACAGCAAAGTGCATGTATGCAGATCACAAAAGACTTTCAAAATTTACAGACAAATGTATTTAGCTTGTTATTCATAAAAGTCCATACTCCATGTATAAGTTCTTGTTGTCTAATATTTATCAGTCATGGACCTGGAAAACAGAATCAGGTTGATATTCAGAGAAATATATGAAATTGTAAAGAACTGGTCTGGATAGTTTACCTACTCCTGCTAAATTGTTGCCTCTTCCATACCAAGGTCTTGCTCTGTGTCAGTGCTGAAACACAGTCATCACCTCCACTTACACCTGTTGACATGCATGTGCCAAAAATATTAAAGGCAAAAAGTTATAGAAAAGTAAGAGTCTGTAGGTGTTACTGTCTGCCAACAAGACAGGTTTTATTGAAGCTGGTGAACGGTAAAGCCATTAAGACTGCTTTGTACATCAGTAAATACAACATGTAAATTGAGAGCATAGCCTGCCATCACTCAGTGAGCACACAATTGATGCACTGTTGAGATAGCCCAAGCAGGGACTTGGCTGAACAGCAGGCAAGGGTTCAGCAGGGTTCAAGGAACACTTTGTGCACTTTTCCTGAGAAGCTGTCAACTGGTGGAAAATATATATCTGTGGGTGGTAGGAATGCCAAAGCAGGATAGAGAAGATGAGAGCTGGGCTGAATTTCATGTTCCATATCACAGTGAACAGGTTGTTGAGATGAGAAGGATACTAATTTGCAGATAAAACTCCACTCCAGAAAATGTTCAAGTCTATGATTTAAAAGTATCAAATAGTAGATACACTGAAAATAACAGTTGAATTAAAGATAACTCATCTGAAAGAAAGAGGCCTTGGTAAAACAACAGACGGATGCATCAAAAGCAAAGATATATGTTTGCAAAGGTGAACAGTCTGATACCAAGACAATGATACAATTGCGAAAAACTGTATTTCCCCTGCCAACTATAGTTCACCAAAAAAAAAAAAAAGAAAAAAAAAAAAGAAAAAGAGCAACAACAAAAAAGTTGTTACAAGGAATCACCTATGAATAATATCAAAATTGCCCTTACTTGTCTCCAGATTTTTTTTTTTTTTTATGAGACTATTATCCTTATGTCAAAAATGTTTTTATTTTTTTTAAGTTTCAGAAAAATTACTCCAAACTGTAAAATATTTATTTTTGTATGTAACAGCTACTAAAATATATTTTTCTTATACTTTTCCCTTTTTCTGGAGAATTCTTACACAACTGAAGGCTTTTTGGTCTATGGGAAAAATGAAATACTAGTCATGAAATACTACACATGCAAAGATTTTGATGGGAAGAATTATGATCATGCACTCAAACATATTTATGATATTTCTTTCTAAATCAGATAAATTTAAATTCAGCATATTGAGCACTCACAATTGATTTCTGGAGACTAATTTGGACATCAAAATTATTCCCAGTGCACAATTTGATATATCACTTAACAAATACAACTCCACGTAGCAATGTTATGAAAAATAGCTGTATAAAGACTATATTTTCTAGAATTTTCACCTGACAGTCACAGAAAATATTTGTCCTGTTTTCAATTTTAATATAGTTATCACCTTTCTTATTATTAATCAACTACTTTTATGAACTATTTTAGATCATTAATCCTATAAAACCATATCTAATTAACATGCACACATGAGGGAAGTAAAGATTACCAGTGACTGCTAAGCAATTATGAGGTCTATATGAAAACAGATTTGTCAAGGCATGTTATCAACTACTTTTTTTTTTTTTTTTTTTTTTTTTTTTTTGACTATGAACTACTTTTGCTGGCTTTAAGTAGTAAATGTTTAATTACTTTGTTGCAAAAACACCCTTCAGTGTAACAGGGATGAGACAAACAGAGTAAAACAGTTTCACTCAGTAAAACAGTTTTCTCTGACAGTGAACAAGTAGCCAATTGGAAGACCAACACTTAGGTCTCCAGGTGGACATTCCTGTGCAAAGTATCTAAACTAGAGATGGTTCTATTGTGCAAATGGAGTCTTTCTGTCAGGAAACTTTCGTTGTTTCTGGGAGATGTCAGAGAAACTCTGTTGTGCTGGATAACTGTAAGTTGGTTCATCAGCTTAAATTATTGCCTAGCTTGCTTTAGATTTTGCACAATCTTGATTATATATCACTAGTTTTGTTTTATGGATCTGTTTCTGCAAAATGACAAGCATGTTATTTACATTGTTCATTAAACTTACCTGTAGGCATAAGTATATCCCTGATGCCCAAATTATTATTATTATTATTATTATTATTATTATTATTATTATTATTAACAACATTATTATCATTATCATTATTATCATTATTATCATTATTTTTATTTTCAGGGAAAGGACTTGGATAGTATATGCAGGATCAACACCTCTCTCTATAATACATATATGAAATTCTCTTGCAGTGTAAAACTTCCATCTGAATGATTCTTGTCTGAAGTATAAGACCTGGTGCCCCACAGATGGCTCAGGAGCATGTGCAGGGCACAGCTCACAGTCCTGATAGGTCGTCAGACTCACAGGGCAGCTATCGTTCAAGACTTAACAATAATCATGAGCCCACAATTTAAAAACATGCATAAACCCAGCTATAAAAAATGTTTTTAAGTTCAGTAATCATTTATTATGTATAACCAGAAAAAAAAAAAAAAAACATTTTTTTTTTTTTCCTTTTTTCCAGTACCCAAAGCAAACATTAACTCATTTTTCTTTACCCCATAGGCTGTGCCAGAGTACAAATCTACATGGTGTACTTTGGAACAGAAATTTACCACCGATTTCTTCAAAAACTTGGGATAATATAGACCAAAAATAATGGTGTTCTTCAAAAGTGATCTTTAAAAACATTTTCAAAGGCTGTTCTTTTTTGAGCAACCTTTTCACTTTTGATTAATATTCCTTCACGTTTTCTTGTTCAGAATATCTCTTGGAAAGGAAGGGAAGGGAAGGGAAGGGAAGGGAAGGGAAGGGAAGGGAAGGGAAGGGAAGGGAAGGGAAGGGAAGGGAAGGGAAGGGAAGGGAAGGGAAGGGAAGGGAAGGGAAGGGAAGGGAAGGGAAGGAAGGGAAGGGAAGGGAAGGGAAGGGAAGGGAAGGGAAGGGAAGGGAAGGGAAGGGAAGGAAGGGAAGGGAAGGGAAGGGAAGGGAACAGGCTGCTCAGGGAGGTTGTGGAGTGTCCTTAACTTTTACATATTTTGCCAAAAAAGGGAAAAAAAAATGAAGGAAGGGAGGAAGGGAGGAAGGGAGAAGGGAGGAAGGAGGGAGGGAGGGAGGGAGGGGAGGAGGGAAGGAAGGAATGAAGGAAGGAAGGAAGGAACTGAAGTGTTTTTCAAGATAAACTTGTTTAACATCTAAACAATTTGTATTCATCACAAACACAGCAGCTCAAATATTTTTGCATTAAGTTCATCTCTGATAAAGAACATAGGAGTTCATTCAAAATACTCCATTAAAGAAAAAAAAAAAAAGACAAATTCTTTTAAATTTATGAGAATTTAATGTGGTTGAAGAAATGTAATAAAAATCCACAGCAAACCTTGAATCTGTTTTAGTAAAATATATAACACATTTTCTCCACTGAGATATTAACAATACCTTTCAAAATTTTTTGGGATTAGGCTGATGTATTCTTTCCATTACTCAGAAAATTATAATTCACAGTTGTATTGTCTACAAGTATTATCTGCGGGATTGAATACTCATGGCTATGAAAAGCTTACTGCTAGCCTTAGGACACAATCTCATGAGCTTCTGAGACACAGTCTAAACAGAAAGGTGGCACCTACAATCTACTCTAAATCCTGTAATTTGCACTGAAGTAATAAAAGAGTGGGGTAAACTCCAACCCCCCTGAACCACACAAACACAAAATGTACTTGTTTGTCTATTCTCACATTTAAGGACTTTTTTTTTTTTTTTTTCTCCTAGAGATATGGCATGGCTTGGGACAAAAGTGTGTGCTAAGGCAAGAATATTGCAGTTAGAAGTAAATCACATCCTTTTTATAGAATGTCTTTAACCTGTCATGGGAGATTAGTCTCATAAGCACAAAGAAAATAGGTGGAACGTAGTGAAGAGAGAAACAACAGGTGGTCTGGCCTGGTCTGCCGCGGGCGGGTAATTTGGAAGACCAACAGAAGCTTGGAGAAAGAGTCATGAGGGACAGGGAGACCAAAAAAACAACAGTTGTGAGTACCAGCACTTTCCCAGACATGCAGCTTTACCTGCAGTGACTTGCTGTGTCCATTTACCTTTGAGCCTTTCCCTTGTACAGGAGCAGCATGTGCTCAGCTTGGCTGAAGGACGTGGCAATTGATCGCTCTCACTAACACAGATGAGATTTAGCAGAAAAACAAGTTTCATTCACAGATCAATATCAAGTTTTCTGAGCTGGCAGTCAAGACAAAAGACCCTTTTTTTTTTTTTTTTTTTTTTTTTTTCTCACTTGTGAACTGAATACTTTTAATATAAAAATCATTGACAGGATTTGCATGCAAAATGATATACCATTTTAACAGCTGCTTCTGTAGAATAACTATACCATTGGGTACTCTTGCTCTCTTACACAGCTCAGATTTCCAAATACTTATTCTGTTATGGAAAAACAACAACAACAACTACAACAAACTTTCAAAAATATTGAATTTTCTCAGGTTACTTTACATTCATGCATCAGAATAGAAGCTGGTCCATATAAGCCAATATATTCAATACATTAATAGGTGAGGTAGAATAATGAAAACAGGAATTAATGTTTCCTTTTTTGGTTTTGTATTTTACTACTGGTGTGAAAAGTTATTAGTAATTAGAATAAATGGCTTATTGGTGACAGTTGTCTCTGTTGTTTTAGATGCTTGTATGAAATACAGAGAAGCCCTGATGGTGAAATGTATTTGCATTTGATTTAGACAGATTTCTGTCACTTTCAGCTTAAGTTTTTACAAACCTCTTTAAATGTGCAGTAGGTTTTTTGTTTGTTTTCTTGTTTGTTGTAAAAATGTTTTAAAAAGTGTTTGCAAGGAAAAACTAGAAACAATTAATAAAATGGCATTTATGTAAACTTTCAAAATGAAACTATGACTGCTGCAATCTTTTATATATATTTATAGTATTAATTAGAGAATTCATCCTAGTTTGCCAGAGAGTGGGGTAACTAAAATTCATTAGAGAAACAGTAAATGTAGAAAGCACTCTTAAGAAAGATATAAACTAACATTGTGATAATGTGCAAAAGGCCTTACCTTAAACATTTTTATATAAATTGTCTGCTAAGGTACTAAATAAAAAGAAAACACAGTACATAAATGCAAATGTGAACTCTACATCCTAATATTTGACAAGGCTCCATTAATAATTTCTGTAACTGTTTTTTTGTGAAGAGGTGGTCATATTTCTACCTGCTCTGAGTTACAGTTGAACTACCCCAGCTTTGAATTAAAGCTTCTTTCTTCTGACAACAACTGTCATTAATTGTTGGAATTTCAAAAGAAACAAACAACAAAAGTGAAACCAACATAAGACACATAAACAAAAAAAAACAACAAGGTTTGCACTATGAGTTACTGGCATTTGACTGAGTATATTGCCTTGTTTCTTTAACAACTCCAGTGAATAGATTCCTTGACTCTGTCACTCCTTGACGTAGGCTGCAATTGATATTTTTACTCTCTGCTTTTGCTTTTAAGGAACTTTTGTTCATTACCGCACCAGATTTTATCCAGAATAAAGAATGTTATGGTTCTATACATGTTGCATCAGAAAAACACTAAGAAAACATCAGACCATGTCCTTCCATAGTAAGATAACATTTTTTTTTGATTAGTTTGCTATTATTTTTACTGTAATGGAAAAGAGGGAGTAGATTGTGCATTGTAATGCATGATGCTCAAATGTCTTCACGGTTGTTTTCAAAGCAATAACCACAAATGATCCCATGGAAACAATGAGAATAAATCTTGGTTAGTCTGAGTTCCTTACTGTTTGGAAGTTGATGATATGTGATGCAGACTAAAATTTCCACTATTTTAGCACTGGTGCTATAGCAAGACACATGCAGAATCCTGTCCATAGAATTCCACCCCATCAGGATTTTTCTCTGTCTTAAAATTACACAAGGAATCCCAAATATTTTCTTCTTGGTCACTTTATGGTATAGACCAAATTAGAAAATCTGGAAGCAGAGGGAAGGGGAAAGAGAAATGTCTATTAAAACCCAAATTAAAACAACATATACCCTCATTGTTCTTGAGGGAAGGTGAGCAAGCTTGTGGTGGAATCAAAAGTTGAAAGAGACCTTGGTCTGTCTGGGAAAGTTAGTATGGCTCTTTATGAGAATTGTCACAGTGTTTCATGACAGAACATGGGTGGAATTCCAGGTACCTCAGCCCCCTACACCAGGTGGTGGGTGGGTGGGATATTGTCCATCAGTAGGATGTCCATCAGTGTAAAAATGTCCCAACTCAGGGCTCCCTTCTTGAGTGGCTGACAGGCACGGGGCCCTGTTGCCAGCATGCACATTCTTGTCCTAGGGCTGTGACCCAGGAGTAAAGATCTGTTTGATGTAACATGGAGAATTTACCAGGACACAAAATACACTTCAGAAATTCATTTTACACTTTCAGGAACTTTGACCTCTAAATAATTTAAGATCTACTAGAAATGATTTCACACAGTAATTTTTGTTGAGATGCCTGAAAGTAACTTTCCTTCTCTAATCTTCTCCAGTTTTCAGCTTTCAATTCATTTTTGCAATCTGCATTTGGGAGTTTACATTACTTTAGTAGTGTAGTGTAAATCCAGAGAGAAGCAGCAGCAATTTTATGGTGGTTTATAGTGCAGTCAGCAATAGAGAGAGACAGCAGAGAAAAGTGTAGAACTGGTTATTAAGGATGATTGAATGGAAAGCTGTCACCCAGGCTGTGATGCTAGAAATCAATACTTCACATGGGTATTTCAAATCCAGTAGATAAAGATACAATAACTGAAGTATCTGACTGCAGATACAAAGGACACTCATGAACACCATCCAGAGTCACCCTGAAAGCAATCTGTGGATGGTCATGCTAAGAAAAGTCTGAAGTTACAAGGAAAAAAAAAAAAAAAAAAAGTGAAATGGTGTAATCTGCAAGACAAGTACATGCAGTTTTTGCAGAAATCACCTTTTTACAGCCTGTCATATTTATTTATTTTATTTATTTATTTATTTATTTATTTATTTATTTATTTATTTATTTCTGTGAACTTAGAGTTGTTTTTTACTTGTAACAAAAGTGCCATGGTGACAGTAACCTGCTTGTTTCTTCATATGAAGGAAAAACATGAAATGATAATGCTCAGACAGGAACAGTTTGCTTCCAGCAATCATTCTTTCTCCCTCTCTCATCTTTAAATCTTAATGGAATTACTTATTTATGTTTGCAGATTTAGGACCTAGGAAGGCTAAACATAGTTTTGTAAAAATGGAAAAAAGGTGAAGGAAAGGTGCTTTCTTGTACTGAACCTGCCTAAATCAATGATTTTCAGCGTGTGGCTAGTGACTGCTTGGACAGCAATGAACAATTTCTAAGGTCACATGAAAACTGATGAACCATCTTCTTTGTTATTTGAAACAAACGGAAAAAATAAAAAGAAAAAAGAAAAAAGTTGAAAATAACTGACTATTGCTTTGTTCTCAGAAGCTGGCTTGTACATAGCAACACAATTTCTATTCCTTTATAGCAATGACCTTTTTCATAGTAAAAAATCATTTTCTTCTCATGAAGGACTTCATAATACCACTGCTCTCTACTGAAATTTTGGACTGGAAGCTTTAGAAATCGCTTATGTGAAGGCTCTGGCAGGAAACTAAACTCTGCAGATTTCTTGATACCCAGGCTAGGAAGTATCATTCAATCTCTCCTTGCACTCCAGTCCTAAAGCACTGTTACAAATGACCAGCAGCCTCTGTTGGGAAGGAAGGATGCAAAGCTATTAAGTTTAGGTGCATCTCTACAAAAATCTACGTGATCTTCAAAAATCAATGTGATCTTAAAGAATCCACACCAACAATCCAGAGTTTTCTAAAATTATAGAGGTTGAATTACAGTAAGAACTCAGAATGCTCTATTGTTCTAACAGCATAAAGTCAGCAAGGTTTTTTTTGTTGTTTGGTTTTTAAATTTCAAAATAAATTAATGAATACATTCACTTATGAACGTATTTCTTTTAACATAGTATTATTGCTCTCTAGTGAAAAACTGAATATTTTAAAATTGTTCTTGTTTTTGTTCTAGTTTTTCCCCAATAGAAATCATTATTTATCAGTATGATTTTTTTTAAAGCTGATCCTTATAAGAAAATTTGCAGATTTTCTCTTGGAGAAAAAGTTTTGTACCAGTACTCTGCTTGCATTATAGAATATTACCAGTAAGGACATCAGCCAATCTGATTAAACAAAAGCTCTGCTGGTGTGATTGGATCACAAGATGAGCCAATAAATAAATAAATAATGCAAGCAGGCTTTACTTTTTCCCCTAAATTTTGTTTGTTTGTTTGTTTGTTGTTGTTGTTTGTTTGTTTGTTTGTCCTGTCTCTCTTACCTTTCTGAAAGCAAGTGATGGAATAATATCTCCAGCAAAAATCTCATGTAACCTGTTCATCAGCAGTCTTGCATTTTGTGATATAGGTTGAAAAATGATAGTTTAGTGTATTTTTTTTTTTCTTTAAGAAGAAAAGAAGCTGCTCAGGAGAGAAGCATTTACTGTTGATAAAACCAGAGTGATTAATTTATATGTACAGCTGCTTTTGAAGCTGACAGTCATCCATTTGACAGAACAGAGCAGCCACATCTATCAGAAATAAATATTTCATAGCAAAACTTGGCTCTTTTTCAAAAACGAGGGAAAGATTCTGGTGGCAGCGCTGCCATAGGCCAGCTTCTGTCGGAGCAAAGGAATTGCCCAGAGATACAATGAGCTTTGGAGCATGTAAATGGCCTTTTCTACACCACTCATGGACTAAGGAGTCATGATTCTGTGTCTTTCTGATCTCCTTTTACATTTTAATGCTGTTTTGGGTGCTTCACAATATAAACATGTATTTCCTAGGAAGAAACTAATCTGATGTTGACAGCAATGATCTATGTAGTAAAAAAGTTCTAAAAACAGAATAATAATTTTGTGTGGTGTGGGTGGCTAAGGAAAGTTTCAGGAGACATCTATCTACTCAATCTGTAAGATAGAAAGTGTTTACCAACCTTCCACCACCATGTCTAAGCCCATTTAAATCCATAGTTTTTTCTATTTATTGGTATATTGTCTGTTTTTTGCTTATCTACAGACTGATTTTTTTAAGACTAATTCCTTATTTTTTTCTGAATGAGTAGCTAGAAGTCAATTAAAGAATTATATAGGTACCTAGCTAAGTTCTGAACCACCCTAAATGAAACCTTTTCAGGGAGTGGAGTGTCTAACTCAGAGACATCAAGTCTAACCTTCAACAAGCCACATGTTATCAAACCTCTGTACATCTAATTGCTATTTTTTGTTTAGTGTATAACAGAGAAAACTTGAATTTACATATTAAAATCATTGAGGAAATCATCACAAATCTGAGTAAAAATATTTAAATATCTCCAAAAGATTGTTAGAAGTAAATATTGCAAAAACTGTAACTAGTAGTTTAGTGTTTTCTAACCTTCATATCCATAAACCAAATATTTTTTATTTATTTCCCAGAACAATCAAGATGGATTGCATAAAGACTCATATCTCATGATGCTCATTTAACTGAAGATCTAAGTTTAAATCCTTTTAAAACAGTTAGGTCAAAACATTTCTAGCTTGAGTCATTGACTACCTAATTTTTTTTTTCTTGGAATTATAAAACATTCAGTCAGATTTATGTGCTTATTGCATTTAAGACTCACGGGTTGTCAGAAACACCTTGCACATTGCACTATCAATAAATAGAAAAGCAACAAATTTAGCAGACTATTTAAATGCTGATTTGTGCTCCTGAAAGAGGGGACAAAATGCAGCCTCTCTAATTAATAGAA